AAGTGACATGGCATTGCTGTGAGCCTGGGAGCCAGCCCCGTCCCCGAGCTGTGCTGTCCCTTCTGCATATTCGGTGCATCTCCACCTTCGGCTGCTTGCGCACTTCCTGTCTGTGCCTTCGCTGGGGTCTCAGTGCCCCCAGGCTGGCCAGAGCTGTTTCCTTATGAAGTGCCTTCGAACCATGACCTCACGGGAGCTCTCACCATGGCGCGGGCAGGATGGGCTTTGCAGGACCGACGGAGCCCAGGCCCTGTAGGGTTCCCACGGGGTTCCAGGCTTCTCTTGGGGTAACTCAGTGCAGCCAGACTGTGATTCACAGATTCTCACCCTCACGACGTGGTGGGCGGTATGGACTTTGCAGGACAGACAAGGCCCAGGTTCTGTGGGGTTCCAGGCTTCTGTCGGGGTGACTCAGCGCAGCCCCAACTGTGATTCACAGGTTCTGGACCCAAGGCGAGTTGTCCGCATTTGTGTCAGTTGTGTCAGGCACAGGAGGCCTGGGGAGTGTGGTGCCTGCCCTCTCTCAATCAGAAATGACTCAATAATAGATTGTGATGTTGGAAAACAATACTTTTCAGCAGCTGATTAAGGGCAGTTTGTGTTCCGTCTGTCAGCCTTGAGCTCAAGTATGAGTCTCCTGTTCTTTTGCTCAGTTCATTTATAACTATCTGTGCATACATGTTCTTGTCTGCCACCTACTGTCTGTCTATCCATCCACCCTTCCTTCAATCCATCCATCCATCCATCCACTCACCCACCCACCCTTCCTTCCATCCATCCATCTGTCTACCCACCCACGCACCCATCCATCTCCCTGTCTACCTGTCTTAAAGGAGTTAAGAAAGGCCATGCCTTATTCTTCTTTGGTGACAGCCGCAGTCCCTTGACCAGGATCAAGGACTTAGCAGGTGCCTAAATCCTTGTTTAAGGTCTTATGTGAATCAGCATCTTCTCTTACTGAGAATGAAGGTCATGCTGTGGATATAGCCTTGTTTAACTGAGGGCATGAGCGGTGTTGGAGGGGACAAGAGCAATGTGTCTTGGTTTCATATTTCATTTTAAAAAAAGTTGCTTTTATACTGTGGTAAAAGTAAGAAAGTCATGGCACAAACTTAAAAATACAGAAGGAAACTGCAATGAAGACAATTTTGCCTGTAGCACGCCCACTGCCCTGAGAAGCCCTGAAGACCCACAGCTTTGTTTATGGCACGTGTCCTGGGCCAGTGCTGTCCACATCCCTGGACGAGGTGAGGGAGCTGAGGCCATGGACCCCTGTGCAGGGTCGCCCGCCTGTCAGGGCAGAGCCGGCGCTTGGCTGTGGCCACTGCGTCCATCAGGATGTCTGTGCTGTTGCCCATTAGTCTGAGGGCTGCACCTTAAGTGCTTGGCGCTCACACAAAGCCGCACACATGTACACATGTCCATGTTCGCACGCTCTGCCCTGCAGGTCCACTAACCTGCTGTTTAGGACTGGCTGCTTCATGCCTTCACTTTTCCTGCCCCCAACTTCTCGCTGCCCCTGCACCCCAACATTTGGATACACTGGAGGTGATGCAGCCAGCACTGGCCTGGAAAGCACCTTTGGGCCGCCTGCTTTTTGCACGGGCTTTGTGCACAAAGTCCTAATTATTTTGAAGGTTGGCCTTGCCTGAAACACACACCAGCACAGTGACACTGAGTCTTGGGGCCACGTGGGAGGGGAGCTTTCCAGAGGAGCTTTCCCGGGGCCACGTGGGAGAGAGGCTTTCCCTCCTGAGTGTTGGTGCCCCGTGAAGACCAGTCCTTATACATCCTTCGGGGGCCAAAGACCATTCTGTGACGAGGTCACTCCCTGTACCCCACCCTCCCCGTGGTGGTCCCTTTGCTGCAAGGGACAGAGACCCTTTAGATGCTGTTGTACACTGTGCCGTGGCCTGGCAGGCAGCTGGACGTGGGCAGCCCTCCCCCGGTGCCACTGCCCACTGGCCCAGGGCGTCTCTCTCCTCGACTTGGCTTCTCTTTGACCCTCCGCCCCGTTTCCACATCCAGCCGCTTCTCCCCTCCCCCTGGCGTTCCAGCTGTGCCCCGAGCTGGCACTGACTCTTGAACACTCCCCTGGGCTCACAGCTGCTGCTGAGGGTTACCTGGTGGCCCCCCAGTGGGTTGGATTCCTAACCCCACATCTGGAACTCTGGAAATTGGTCTGCTTTGTCTTGTTAATGAAATCTGATCAGAGTAGACACCCAAACCAGAGCAACCGCCCTCAGGTCAGCTGGACCCCAGTTCATGGCGACCCCGGGTCACGGCGACCCAGGTGCGTCGGAATGAAGCTGTGCTCCACACGGTCTCAGGGGCTCATGTCTCAGAGTTCATCACCAGACCTTCCTTCCAGGCGTTGCTGGGTAGATGGAAGCCTCCAAGCCAAGGTCAAGTAGGGTAGCTTCTACGTCTGCTCACCTCTGAGTTAGAAAACGAGCAGATCACACACACACACACACGCACACATGCACACACGCACGTGAAGACAGATGCCACGGGTCACAGCTACTTAAGGCCAGGGAACCCAGGATCGTCGGGGCTACAGGTAAGGAAGGATTTGACTTGGCCGACTCCCTGATTTGGATTTTGAGCCTCCAAAACTGTGAGAAAATAAGTTTCTGTTGCGTAAAGCCGCCCTCGTGTGGCCTTTCTGTTACAGCAGCACGGAGTCCTCCCTGCCTGCATTGCTTCCTTCTGTGCAGGACACGTCCCACACCCTGTGTGCAGTCCCTTCACTGTCCTCAGAGGCCCCGTTTTCCTTACAGTCCCTGCATCAGGAGGATCCTCCCACGGGTAGACAACAGCGGGCGCTCTGGAGAGCACAGTCAGGGAAAACTGAGTGCACTCTGCGTCATCTGGCACGTGCTGGGTGGCACAGATCACACACCTGTCCAAGCTCGGCAGCTCACAGGCCCGTGGGGACGGCGGGGCTCGCGCGTCCTGGTGCCAAAAGGCTGGCTGCAAGTGGACCCTGCAGGGTCATAATTGCTCAGTTTAAACAGCACTCCGAATGATGCTAATGTATGGATAAATAAATGCGGGAATTAAAAATCAAGTGCTGGGTGGTTCAGTCTGAATTCATGATGAAGTTGCTTTTTTGTGGGGAATGAATGGGCAGCACTTAGATGGGAATTCAAGCTTATGAAAATTTCTCAGTTATTTCATCATGATAACAGGAGCCCTGGTGGCGCAGCAGTTAAGTGCTTGGCTGCTAACTGAGGAGTTGCTGATTTGAACCCACCAGCCTCTCCACGGGGGAAAGATGAGGCAGTCAGCTTCCGTAATGATTAACAGCCTTAGAAACCCTATGGGGCAGTTCCACTCTGTCCTCTAGGGGTGCTGTGAGTCAGAATCCCCTCTAGGCAGTGGGTGTGGTTTGGGCTTTGCTTCCGTGAAGACTGACAGCCATGGAGACCGTGTGGGCAGTTCCACTCTGTCCTCTAGGGACACTGTGGGTTGGGATCTACTCAATGGCAGCAGTTTTTTTTTTTTTTTTAATCATCAAAAAGCGTTTGAAGAGAGGATGACTGTCAGCCATTGGTGTCTCTGGGTCATGTGAGGTTGCATGTTGTCATATTACTCTGTGTACTTTTCCACACTGTAACCAAACCAAACCAACCCCACTGCCGTCCCGTCGGATCCAACTCATAGCGACCCCTCCTTGGGTTTCCAAGGTGGTATCTCTATTGAAGTAGATTGCCCTACAGTGTAAACATCTCTCAAATTAGCCACAAGAAAATAACACGCCTCACTGAACAGCTGCCATGGTGGGCATGTGGACTATTGGGAGTAGGAAGAATGTGGTGTTAAGCAAACAATTAAAATTCTCAGACACAGACAACCATAGTGGGGGTGGGGTGCATTCTCAGCCCCTCCCACCAAGTGGACCTCATCCTGTTGCCCCTGTGCTCACGCCCAGCTGGTATGTTGGGCCGTCTTTGTGATGGTAGCTTCCCATATAAATTATTCCCTCTGCTTCTGCTCTGCCGGCTGAGAGCTCCGAGGCAACATGGACTGCGTATCTTATTTATGTTTCATCCCTGTGGCCTAACTCCATGAACATGTCCCCACCCCTTCTTCATTTCCCTTTGTTTTTTTTTCCCCACTAAGGTAATTTTGTTTATATGCATTTTCTCTTTTCCATTGTTGTGTGTCTTTGAGTCAATTCTGACTCACAGTGCCCCTGAAGGATAGAGTGGACAGGCTTTCCAAGGCTGTCAATCTTCTTAGGAGCAAAGCTCAAACCACACCCACTGCTGTGGAGTCCATTCTGACCCACAGCGCCCCTAGAGGACAGAGTGGAACTGACCACAGGGTCTCCAAGGCTGTCAGTCTTCACAGAAGCAGAGCCCAAACCACACCCACTGCCGTGGAGTCCATTCTGACCCACAGCGCCCCCAGAGGACAGAGTGGAACTGCCCACAGGGTCTCCAAGGCTGTCAGTCTTCACGGAAGCAGAGCGCAAACCACACCCACTGCCGTGGAGTCCATTCTGACCCACAGCGCCCCTAGAGCACAGAGTGGAACTGCCCACAGGGTCTCCAAGGCTGTCAATCTTCAGGGAAGCAGACTGCCTCATCTTCTCTGTGGAGTGCCTGGGTGGTTGAAATGGAGAAAAGCAGTGTTTGCTCTCTGAGTCTCTGTGTCCCTAACTGATCCCTGGGATGAGGTCGGGATGGCCTTGTGGGGTTTTGTGTTCTCGGGGAATGGAGCTGAGGAGCCTCCTAGCCGCGTAGTCAACGGAGCTGCCTTGTTGAACCCCGCTTCTGCCGTCCTTGTGGTTTGCACGTGACCCATGGGCCGCCTGCGTCACCACTGGGGATGCCTGAGCCACGCAGGCTGCATGGCCCCGTGCGGAGCCGTGCACGCGGGATTCCCGGTCCTGCGGTTCAGTGTTAGAAGTCTGACTGCGCTGGGAAGTGATGGGTGGTGGCGGCGCCTACAGGAGTCAGTTCTAGAGCGTGTCTGTCTGTGTTCTGCAGAGGCGCCCTTGACCTTAGCCGCGCAGCAGGACGACTCCGTGGACGTGATCAAAGCGCTCAAAAATGGCGGCGCGCATCTGGACTTCCGCGCCAAGGACGGGATGACCGCCCTGCACAAGGCCGCCCGCGCCCGGAACCAAGTTGCCCTTAAGGTAAGCGCCAGACCCCGGCTGACCCGGAGGCTCCCCTCCTGCCAGCTGACACCCCCACTCGGTCTGACCTGGGGCTTCGCCTCCTCCTGGCTGACTTCTCCCACCTCCCGGCTGACTCGGGGGCTCCCCCTCCTGCCAGCCGACACCCCGACTCTGTCTGACCTGGGGCTTTGCCTCCTCCTGGCTGACTTCTCCCACCTCCCGGCTGACTCGGGGGCTCCCCCTCCTGCCAGCCGACACCCCGATTCTGTCTGACCTGGGGCTTTGCCTCCTCCTGGCTAACTTCCCCTACCTCCCGGCTGACTCAGGGGCTCCCCCCCCACCAGCTGACACCCCCACTCTGTCTGACCTGGGTGCTCCCCCTCCTCCTCGCTGACTTCCCCCCACTTCCTGGCTAACCTGGGGGCTCCCCCTTCTCCCAACCAATCCCCACATATCTGACAAGGGCTTCCAGGCTGCCCTGGCCCCCACGCCCTGGCCGCCATTGAGGTACTTGAGATGGGTGTTCCGGCCGCTGAACTGTGACCTGTGCTATGACTCTCCGGCCCTCTCCTTGTTGTGTGTAGAATTTCCTGCTCACAAAGTCACTGTTCTCTTGTATTTCAGTCACAGGCCTGGTGCTTTCAAGCAGCAGGGCCAGCACTGAAACCCAACCCAGCCTCTGAGCCTGCACTCCCAGCCTGCGGCATCTGGCCAGCCTGGCGTGGCTGCCTTGGAGGGCTGGGGTCCAAGTCCCAGGGGTGTGGGTGGCAAGCCTCCTCTTCCTCAGACACTGTCCTCGGTGTGGGCTTTGTCTGCCCAGCACTGTGTTTCTTTGTTAATTAAAAATTTTTATTGTGCTACCACATAGACAACAAAACTGTGTACCATTTTAACCGTGGTTAAGTGTATATCTCAGTGGCATTAATTAGTCAGCATTAGCCATTTAAAAATTTTTCCATCCCCCAAACAGAAACTCAGTACCCCTTCAGCTATACCTCCCCACTGCCCTCTCCAACCCCACCCCCTGCAAGCTGTGATGTGTTCTAGACAGTTCATGTCAGTGGGCCACACGATAGGGGTCCTCCTTTTACCTTTCCCTTCACCCAGGTTCCTTTGTGTCTCCCTACTGGTTAGTGGCTTACCCCCTTCCTCTCCCAGCCCTGGGAGTCATCAGAGAAGACTGCTTTTTTTGTGAGGCCTTTCCTTGTTGTTTTACAGTAGCGGTCTTGTACCATATATGTCCTTTTGTGGTTGACTAATTTCTCTCAGCATAACGGCCGCTAGGTTCATCCGTGTTATGAGACGTTTCACAGATTCTTCCTTGTTCTTCAACACTGTGCACTATTCCATGGTGTGTAGGGACCATAGTTTGAGGATCCACTCCTCCGTGGATGGGCACTTAGGTTGTCTCCATCTCTTTGCTGTTGTGATTAGTGCTGCGATGAACATGGGTGTGCACGTATCTGTTCATGTCACGGCTGTTACTTCTGTAGAGTCTGTACCTAGCAATGGGATTGCTGGATCATATGGTATTTCTATTTCCAGCTTTTTAAGGCAGCACCATACCATTTTCCACAGTGGTTGCACCATTCTACAGCCCCACCAGCAGTGTAGGAGGGTTCCAGTCTCTCCACACCCTCACCAGCATTTGTTGTTTTCTGGGTTTTTTTTTTTGGCTTTGCTGTTTTTCTGGAATGAGATGATATCTCATTGTTGTTCTGATTTGCATCTTGCTAACAGCTGTGACAGCAAGCATTTCTTCATGTGTCCATCGGATGCCAGTGTGTGTCCTTCTGTGTCTGGTGTATTTCACTCAACATAACGTCTTTACGGTTCATTCACATCACAGCATACATGAGACCTTTGTTTCTCTTTGTGGCTAAGTACTGCTTCACCACCTGGATGGACCACAGTGTATGTCTCCACTCATCTGTCAGTGACACGTGGGTTATTTCCACCTGTGCCTACTGTCAATAATGCTGCAGTGAGCATTCGGGGCAGGTGGAGGGTGCCTCTACCGCAGTTAGCAAAGCACAGTGTTTTTGAAGCGTCCAGGTAGAATGCTGAATGCCTGAGCCCACGCTCTGTCAGGGACAGGTGAGGCTACAGGTGGAATTCTCTCTGAAACATGGGTTCCTCAGCTCCCGTCAAGCTACACTTTGTCCCTTGTCCTCCTTAGAAAATACATGTTCTCCAATGCTTGTGAGGGTTGTCACCTGTTAACACACGCTAAGATAGTGCTCCACGGTGCACGTAGATTACCAAGCACCGTTTCTCTCTTGGTTGTCAGCGTTGGCCTTCACCAAGATTGTGCCACCAGTACAAACTACATCACCAGGCCACGGAGAAGTCAGGATGCCACATGGCATGTCTGTGGGATGCCTCCTCTTTTCCTGGTTAAGCTCGTTCAGCACATGTGGCACCATTTGCTATTTCTGGGCTTGAAACATCATTGCCTTGAAACAAACAGAAAACTATTGCCATGGAGTTGACTTCAACTCAAGAGGACCTCATATTGTCAGAGCAGAACTGTGCTCTGTACCAGTGGCCAATGTTCTGGAAGTAGCTCGCCTCTGGGAGGACTCGAGCCTCTAACCTTCCCTTTAGCAGCCAAGCATGTTAGCCGTTGGTGCCACTCAGGGACTCCTGCCAACAGGGAGGACCCCTTAACTCTGGAAGGGCCAGGAAAAGCACTGAGCCCAGGCTTTGGGTTAGCCTCAGCTCATTGAAGCATGACCTGATGCTTCACACTTGGCTGTTTCACTCCGTACAAAGATGTCATGGGCCCACTGATCGTGTCTTAGATGGCAGGAGCTGCTGTAACCAGTAGTACCCCAAGGAATGGCTTCAAGGAAGTGTACTGTCTGCAGTTCAGGGCCTGGCTCTAGGGGAGGTCCTTCTTCGTCTGGTTCAGCCTCTAGTAGCTGTCGGCAGACCTCGCTGCAGGTGCTGGGCTTGGAGAAGTGCCTGCCATGTGCATCTCCCTTCACCTGGTGTCTTCCCGTGTGCGTGTCTCTGCTCTTGTTTCATAACCGGAAGTGATTGGGTGTAGGACCCACCCTCCTCTGGCGTGGCCTCATTAGTGTTTTAACAGCGTCATGTTGACAGGTACAGGGATCAGGGTTTCGTTCCTCCTCTTTAAAATTTTTCTGAGGTTTCACTGTGACTTGCGTGAAAGTTTACGCCGCACATTCATTTCCCATTCAACAATCTGTTCACGTTTTGTTTGGTGACATTGGTGAGTCACAGGACTTGTCCCCCTTCCCCCTGGGTCCCCGTTTCCCTTCATCCTTCCTGCCCCTTCCTGACTTCTGAGCTTGGTTCCCGGGTAAATGCTGCCCTTTGGTTTCATGTGGTTGATTGGTCTGAGGATCACGTTCCTCCCAGGTTACTATTCACTTTATAGTCCCATCTGTTGTTTGGCTGACGGGTGATCCCAGGGGTGGGTGGCTTTTGTTCCAGGCCTGAAGAATGTCAGGGTAGGATTTCAACACATATTTTGGGGGGCACAGAGGAATCTGTTACAGACCACCTCTTTTCTTTTTTCTCTAGACCCTTTTAGAACTTGGGGCATCACCCGATTATAAGGACAGCTACGGCCTGACCCCACTGTACCACACTGCCATTGTCGGGGGGGACCCGTACTGCTGCGAACTCCTTCTCCATGAGCACGCCACCGTGTGCTGCAGGGACGAGAACGGCTGGCATGAAATCCACCAGGTGCGTGGGCTCTTGTTCTTTGCCTCATTTTATCTTTGTACCCCGGGGGGTCAGGGCAGGCCACAGGTGGGACCTAGCCTCCAGGTGGGACCTTCTAGGAGCCCCTAAAAAGTCACAGTTAACCCTCAACACTTGGAATTAGGAATATTTCCAGGAAAATACACATTCTGACATCTCTGGGAAAACTGGAAGGTGTTGTAGAGTGGATTTTGACACCTAAAATACTCGTTGGGGGCCTCACTCCTGCTCCTGTGGATGGAACCCTGTTTGGGAGCAGGGCTTCTTCGCTGTGCTAATGAGGCCACACCGGTGTGTTCCAGTTCTCAGTTACCTTCCGGTAGGTTCGCACTCCTGACAACACCACGTGCGTCAGAGGAGCTGGGCTCCACGGGGTTCTCGGGCTGGTTTTCTAGGAGGAGATCACCAGGCCTTTGGTCCGAGGCTCCTCAGAGTGGACTTGAGTCTCCAGCTTCTGGTTAGTAGCTGAGCACGTAATCATCGATGCCACCCTGGGGTTCCCTGTCAGTGCAGGGTGTGTCCAGACCTAGTCATTTCACAGTGACATAAAGAGCCGCTTAGACCCAGAGACAAAGAGGGGAGATGGACACCAAACCTAGAGACAAAGTGGGGAGACGGACACCCTGTGCAGGTCACCCAGGAACGCCAGGAAGAACGCTAGAGAGCTGAGATGGATAAGCACACAGTGGGAGAGATAGACGCCATGTGGAGGAGATGCCAGGAACCCAGGAATGCTGGGGCTACGGAAGCTGAAAGACACAAGGTCCTTTCCCTACAGCTGACAGGGAGCCGAAGCCCTGAACTTGGACTTCCAGCCTCCTGAGGGTGAGGGAATAAATAAATAAAGCCCCCGTGTGTGGCATGTCTGTCACAGCATTGAGAGACTGAGACGGCCACTGACAAGCCCCAACATGTGGTATTGCCATTACAGCAGCACCAGGCGTCTGAGTCGGTCCCTGACCCCACCTGGGAGGAGCTATCCACCCCACTCACCGTGGGCAGATGGCAGTGGGGGCACCCACAGGCCAGCAGAGGGCAGTGGGGGTGTTGAGGGTGTGGTGGAGGTACTGGAGGCCAAGTTCACATTGGCTGAGGGGCCTTGCCACAGAGAGGGGCCAGCACCCTCAGGAGGGGCCCTGCTCTGGTTTGCCTCCTTTAGTCTGGTTCAAGGGTGGAGGCTCTGGGACCCAGCCCCTACCACCCACAGAGGCAGCTCTTGTAATCAGAGCTGTTGTTCCCTGGAGTTTGGGTTTCCGAAGGAGCCACCTCACCCAGATCCTATGTGCGGCTGCACCATAGGTCACCCCCACCCGCTGGCGAGTGTTCCATCACCCACCAATGCCCCCTGCTGTGTGTCAGAGGCCACCACACATGGCTCCTTGTCCTCCATACCCAGGCAACAGCAATGAGCAAGCGTGGCCATGATCCCACGGAAGGGGGACGTCAGACACGTCAGCTTACACATACTATGTGCACACCTGTGTGTCCCTGTGCATGCACATGCACTGTCTCTGTGGAGTGCGTGCACACGCAGCTGGGCATCTCTCCTTTGCTGCACACCATGCTAGCTCCCGCCTCTCTCCTCCGGCAGGCAGGCAGCTCATGCATGACCTGCCCGGTGTGTCCCAGAATGACCAGGAATGCAGGTGACCATGTTTGTGTGTATGTGTGTGTGTGCATGTCCAGAATGACCAGGAACAAAGGTGCCTGTGTGCGTGTGTGTGCACGAGCAGTTCTCTCTCTGTGTGAGTGTGGTTTGTCTGTGGTGGTGTGTGTCCATATGTCTGAGTGTGTGGTATGTGCATGGATATGAGTGTGTATGTTGTGCAAGTGTGTGTTGTGTTTACGTGAGTGTGAGTATGAATTTCTGTATGTGTGTACATGTGTGATATGTATCTGCAGAAAGGTATATATGTATGTTTTGTGTGTGGTTGTGTGTGTCTTAGTGAATGTGTGTCTGTATGAGTGTGTGTGTCTGTTGATGAGGTTGTGTCTGTATGAATGTGTGTGTTAGAATGTGTAATGTGTCTATGTGAACGTGAATTTGTATCTGTGTGTATGTGTCTAGGTGTGTCTGTGAAGCCCTGACAATCTCTTACTGTGGAGACACACACACGTACCCACAGAAACACAGGACATACACACTCATACAAACACACCCAGTGCAGGAGACTGCATGGTGTGGAGTTCACCCCCGGGACCCTGCACCTGGAACTGGAGCACTGCACCCCTGAGCCACCCAGCTACCCCTTTCCCCGTTCTCCATGGCCCCCCGTGGGCCTGCGTTTGGCGCATGGCAGCTTTATCCCCGGGGCTGTGACTCCTGGTTTGGGCTTTGCTCTGCCCTCTGGTGGTGGCTCTGTCTCATGCGAGTGAGAAAGCCACTGTGTGTCTGCTGGCGTCTGCCCACATGTAGTGACCTGAGCCCCCTGGGTGGCCTCCCTGGCCTTCCTCTGCAGGGCAGCCAAGACCATTCCTTCCGCTGGCGGTGGGGGGTACTTGGTGTGGGGCCCACAAAAGGGGCAGACAGTGGTATCCTGGTTTGTCCTCCTGCGGGGCTCACTGTCACCGGCAGTCACTGTGCTGACGGCCGCCTGCACACCCTTCTTTTCTAGCCTTACGCCATCCTTAGGATTCTCACCTCCAGTTCTCTGAGTTAGAAGGGCCCAGAGAAGGTGAGTGACTTGCTCAAGGCCACAGAGCACACATTGGCTGGGTTCAGTCCCAGTCTCCATCCTGCCTCGGGGCTTCAAACAGAAAACACTCTCAATCCACACGTACATTTGTGGCAGAAGGGAATGCAGGGGCAGGCAGGTTTTCCCCAACCAGCTGGGCCCTTCAGATCCCCCGCGTGGTTCTCACGTTTGTAGAGTCTGCGTCTAGAAGTCCATCGTGTATCTGCAGCACTGCTTCTACTCTGACTCCTGTGCTCACCTCAGCTGCCTGCCACCCTCATCTTTCCAGGAAGCTCTGTAGCTCTTCAAAAAGATGAAGAGCAAAGATGTCTCTTGGAAGGCTAAGGTACACCTAACTCAAGCCATGATATTTTCAGTCACCTCATGAGCCTGAAAGGTGGACAATGAGTAAGGAAGACCGAAGAAGAGCTGATGCTTTTGAGACGTGGTGTTGGTGAGAATGCTGAATGTACCATGGACTAGCTGAAGAGCTAACAGATCTGTCCTGGAAGAAGTGCAGCCAGAATGCTCCTTTGAAGTGAGAATGGCCAGACTTCGTCTCACCTAGTTGGCTTTTGTTGTCAGAGCGACCATTCCCTGGAAAAGGATGCTTGGTAAAGTGGAGGTCAGTGAACAAGGGGAAGGCCCTCAATGAGATGGATTGACACAGTGGCTACAACCATGGGCTCAAGTGTAGCAAGGATCCTGAGGTTGGTGCAGGACCGGGCAGTGTTTCCTTCTGTTTTATTAATGGAGCCGACTGCCGGCATCTAAGGACAACTACAGCTGCAGCCCAGCCCTTCACTCCCGCTGCCGGCTCAGGCCCTCTTCCTAAGCGTCCCCACACGGCGCTGCCCGCTGGGGTCTAAGGCCCACGAGGACTCACAGCCGGCCCTCGCCCCACGTGGAAGGAGTTGCTCCGCCCACTGCAGTGACGTCATGAGAGCGACGGCGTGAGCTCACGCTGCCGCGAGTTACTTCAGACTTGGCGTCAAAAGCCTCCGAATCTTTTACCAGTTGTAGAAAAAGTACTTGCTTTCCGTGGAAGTCTTGAAACCACAGAGAAGGGTGAAGAAGAAAGTGAACGCCGCCAGTGCCGCAGAACGTCCTGGGTCAGATTTGGGGCAAGCGGTCAGCGTGTGGCCCTTGCGGAGTTCTGTCGCGTGGGCAGGGCGTTCTGACCATCACCCCCTCAGCCTGGACAATTTGCTGCCAGAACGCGCGGGACACAGGAAAGCGCCGTGTTTGTGCCTGCAGTCTGACTTCAGTAAAAAGACGGAAACGCGAACCCCTCAAACGGGGACGCAGAGGGTGAGGTGGGGTGTCCCAGACGCGGGCTGGGCTGGCCTCTTGGGGTGCAGTTCGACAGCGTGGACGTTGGTTGAGACGTCACCCGGCCGAGCGGCAGCTTGTCAACACGGGACAAGGGCCAGGCTTCACGGAGGACGGGGAGGACACAAACCCCAAGCCATGAGGTGGGAGGACCAGGTCCAGGGCCCTGGCCTCCCACCCACCACACACAGCGTCCAGGCGTCCATGGCCCTTGCTGCTGGAGCTACGGGCATGAGCTGGCCCTGTTTTCAGGGGGTCTGCTCACCAGAAGAAAGATGGGGGGGTCTGTTTCCGTATACACTTACGGCCTTGGAAACCCAACGGGGTCGCTACGAGTCAGAATCGACTTGATAGCTGTGAGTTCGGTTTTTGTTTTTTTGTTCTGTACTGGAAGCTCTGGTGGCGTAGTGCCTAAGGCATCTGACTGCTAACCAAAAGGCTGGCGGTTCAAACCCACCAGCCACTCCTGGGAAGAAAGATGGGGCAATCTACTTCCGTAGACATACTGCCTCAGAAACCAAGGAGGGGTCGCTATGAGTCGGGTCCAACTTGACAGCAGTGAGTTTGTGTTTTTATTTTTGGGTGGCGGGCGGGGCGGCGGGGGGGAGCCCCTGGGTGCCAGTGGTTAACATGCTCAGCTGCTAACTGGAAGGTTGGAGGTTTGATTCCACCCGTGGGTATCTGAGAAGAAAGGCCTGGTGATCTACTTCCAAAAAATCATTCATTGGGAGCCCTGTGGAGCCCCGTTCTGCTCCTACACACAAGTCGCCAGGAGGTGGGGTCAGCTTGATGGCAACTGGTGTTGGGTGCAGTATGGACCCAGGAGCTTGTCCTGTTTTCTGCACCTCTTGCCCTCTGGGTCAGTAAGGCTTCTCTTTGTGGGGATAACCAAATTGTCCTCTCACCGTCACCCCAGAGGAAATGAGAGCCACCCAGCCCTTCTGTCTCTCATGAGCCCTGACTCCTTGGGGCTGT